CAAACTTAAAGTGCTTATAAGCTGAAATTTGATAAGTTGGGGGAGACCAACTTATGGCTTTTGGCTTATTTTTGGCTTATAAGCACTTAACTTATAAGCACTTTTAATTTTACCAAACGCGTAGATAAGCCAAAAAGTGCTTATAAGCCAGTTTGACCAGCTTATAAGCTTAGCCAAACACCCTCTTAGTCTCCCCCAACTTATCAAATTTCAGCTTATAAGCACTTTAGGTTTGACCAACATATTTACTATTTTATCCTAAAATACTTCTTTTTAAAACAAAACTCTCCGTATACCTAGTTTTTCAGCTGCTTATTATTAATTTCAGCACTTTTATCCAAACACGTAACTGCTTATTTTTTAAATCAGTTTCAGCACTTGTGCTTTTCAACATCTAATGCTTATCAGCTACTCTAAATCAGCTAAGCCAAACGGGCTCTTAATATTTCCCTTAAAAGCCTTTTTCAATTTGATGGCATTTATACATTCAGATGAAGACTAGAACTATTTAGCATCAATATCGTAGACCAAATTGGAACAAGGAGATAGAAATGATGTCAAGTGTCCATCCTTAGGCACAGCTGAGCTGATGCTCAAGCTTTTAAGATCACAGACTAATATTTTCCGGAAAAATGACTTAGAACCCATTTGAATGAGCTTATTTTAAGTGATTTTTAAGCATAAGTCATACGTGAAATTCTAGCTTTTGGCTTTCGGCTTTTTTTGAATCATTTTAGCTTAAAAATAAGTGTTTAAAATACTTTATTACTTTATCCAAACATTACAAAATGGCTTAAAACCACTTAAAATAAGCCAATCCAAACGAGGTCTCATTCTCTGAAAATAGTTTGCGTTACTTGGTTAGAGAGTGAAAAATAATTATCTCCATACAAAGCATCTTTCGTCTCAATTCTATGTAAACGTGTCAATATGATTTGGGTCTAGAGCAGTCAAAGAAGATCAACTTACAGTGTTATTCCTATCTTCCAGGCAATTAAAGAGGCAATTAACTTGGGGGTGGGGGAGAAGGATAGTGATTGCTGATTACTGTATTTGCTTGTTGAAGCAACTATCGGACAAGGGCAAACCAGACAAGATGATGCTATCCATATGATTATATAAGCTATTGACAAAATAACGCACTTCCAAATCTGTGAATTGAAAGCAAATATACAGAGGCTAGCAGTTCTATAATTCCTGTTTTTTAGCAGAAAAAGGTAGGCTGCTTCTTTCCAAGGGGCAGAAAAATCCATGAGTCTCCATTTCTCGGTTTTTGCTTGGTGCAGAGATGTACTACAACTAGTTGGCAGGAAATCATTACAACTGGGTAAAAGAAAGAGATACAAAGGCACAACAGGAGGCTTATAGTGAGATATGTCATCTATGATTAAGTTTTATCTTGGATTTCAAATTGTCAATCTGACAAGTCGGATAATTGCTTCACCAAGCAGAATATGAGATGTAACTCCTATATTAGAAGATGGGGTATTTAACTCGCAAGCTAACATCTTTCTACATTTACACTCTAACATCACATCAATAACAGGAAGCCAAGATTGAGCCAAATCCCAAGTTGTTGTAACTCACAAGGTCTGTACAAGAGAGTTAATTATAACGAAGCTGTACTAAGAATATCATTTTCACGAGACAGCTGATTAAATTCTCAAGACAGCTCCCAGCTAAAAATTCTAGTAAATCTCCAAATGATTCGGAGTTCAGGAAAAGCCTGGGCATGATATTTACCGCAAGATGTCTGAATTACCCCAGACCTGACTAAAGCAATTATGATTACCTTCACAAATTCGTGAGAGAAAGTGTAACACATATAACACTGATGACTAACTATATACAGACATCTCCTAATATATTTTCTCTACTGAAGGCAAAAAATGAAGCCCCCATGTCCTTTCTCTCCCTCCCTACAAATTTGAAGAGATGTACACAAAATGAATCATATTTCTTGATAAGACATTAGTGGCCAACATGTAAAAGATTGGACAGCCTACATTACATTTGAGGTGACAATTCAGTGCCCATCAATTTCTGTTGTTGCTAGTGCCAGTGCATATTTAGCACCATAACTTCTTAGAGAAGTAGAGGTAGTAGATTTACCACCAGAACATGAGGAAAATCAACTCATTTATGATCATAGTGAAAGACACTGTACCATACTAGGAAGATTTTTTGGCATTGGAAGTGCAGTGACATATCTCTGTGCCAAAGGTTTATGGCTACGTGCATCTAATGAAGATGGGGTCTCAACACCATCAGATTGCACCCGACCATGGAACTTCGCAAACCGATAGATGACAGAGAACTTCTCAATATCCTGGCCTTCCACTATCGCATCTAATATTGATGCTCTCTTGTCCAGTCTGCATCAGAGAAGAACGAATAAAAGAGATTATTATGTGGAATTACCTTGTATATTGTCAGGTACAAACTGATTTAGTAAAGAAGATAGATTCTAAACACAAGTGTAACACGTAAGAAATGAAACGGACGCCGAGGAATTAACAGAAAACCATTATGGAGCAGCTGTTAAAGACTATAACAGTGTTGAATTTTTCTGAAATAAATCAATTGCTACTTGCTTTTCTTTGGATCATTTACTCGGCTTAGCACTTCTATCCTTGTATTTTCAGAGTGGGAATGGTGATTAAAGACCTTTAGCATCAAATATTCCAAAATGTGCTAACAGAAGCGAAAAGACCATATAAGAATCCAAACAATGCCCCCGAGTTACCCAGTAAAACCACATTTGGTTGATCGCGGAACTGAAGTCTGCAGTTCCATGACTAAAATTTAGCATTAAATGTAGTTTCTCTGCAACTTGGCAGGCTACATTCTAAAATACTCATAGTACTAGGACAGGAGTCGTACGAAAATGAGACATTTCTTTGCAGAAGATATGTAGCTCAAGAAAATAATCCAGAAAGTGAAGAGAACAAACATGCTGGAATAGCCCAAAGCAACCAAAGATCTGATAATCTTGTATAACGCAGAGAAGTCATTGTATTAGAAAACCTGAACCTATCTTTTCCAATATTGATATTATAGCAGAAAAGTTAACCTATTCAACTACCACAAGGCAAGGCATCTCTATTTTTATCGAACTTTTTTTTTGTTTTGATTTTTTTTTTTTGGGGGGGGCGAGGGGGGTCCACCAAGTTTCCTTTCCTTCCCCTCCCACCAGCCCCCAAAGGTAAAATGACAAGAGGTCTAGTGTACAATTCTACAAACTCGTATATTGTAATGGTGTAAGCCAATCATGAAGCATTACCTCGAAAAGTCAGCTTCCAGTATCCTTGTTCTTGCCGTGAACTCTTCCACAGCTTTGGCAAACGTATGATTATCATTTCTCTCCGGTGTTCTGGCCTTGTCATGAAGCCTATGAAAATACATAAAACATGCTATTAGGGCACAGACAGACAAAGTTGTACACCTGATTGAAACATCTCATGCAACAACTAGCAAACTTACGGTGCTTTGCAAAAATGAGGTGCATTGGAATCCCCATTTGAGCAAGGGACAACGCTGCATGCATCCCCCAATGCCAATCTAGAAACGGAGTAAGCCACACTCTCATACTCTGAGTTAGCATCTGAAAAAAGAAATGCAGCTGATGGAGCGCGAAATAATTGCTGCATAAGCTGAGTGGTCAAAATAAGCCTTCTTTTAACTTTACGCCTCAGAGGCCCATGTTCAGTGAAGTCAATGTCTTCTTCAACCTGTTATTAAAAGAACATGGGCATTCAGAACTGATGAAGCAAGCAAATTTTTAAAAAGTGGATTACAATAGGCAAATCAAGATACCTTTTCAACAAGCCTATTAGTTGATTTGGCCCACTCTATTTCTGCCAAGCTGCAGATAGACAAGTTAACAAATATCATCAAACCTGAAGCTGGAACTAAGACAATCCAAATGAAAACAAATTGGAATAGCAGAAAGCATTGAGAAAGCAGCAAAGCAGCATGCAAGCAAAGGAGTTTAATAAAAGTTGTGCAAAATATGAACCTGATTGTCTGATTGCTCTGTGAATCCAGTAAAACTTCTTTGTTCCAAGGAATAAGTTCAGATGTAACACGTTTCCGCTTCTTGGGTTTCAACAATTGGTTATGCTGACCAACATTCAGTGGCAACGTCTGTGGAGAAGAAAAATCTTCAATGGCAGCAGAGCTAGCAGCTGAACTTGGCCCAAGATTACCAATCGGACTTCTATCAGCATCTGCAGGTATTACTTTCTGCATAGAATTAAGTGTCTGCAAACCATTGGAAGACTTTCCAAGGGTGAAAGGTTGATCAGTTGCCTTCATGGAGGCAGCTTTGTGTGCTTCATACATCTGTAACATCTGCGCACTTTTGAAGGTTCCATACTGATTAAACCAGGACGGTGCCATCTGAGGACTAATCTGAGTATGCTCAGGCTTAAATGGATTTGTACTATTGTTGTGAGATCTGCTCTGAGCATCATCCTGACGATATGCAAGTATATCCTGAGGAGGCATCTTTCCTCCTTGTTGTGATGATAAGCTTCTTTGTAATTCCTGCTCAGAGAAGCTTAAAATTCTAGATTCAGTGGAAGGAATTTGCTGAAGACCTGTATTGCTGTCTGATAGCCTCATTCTTTTCAAAGCCCTATCACTTGGATCAGTCTCCACATTTTTCATGGCCTGCATTTGGTTTAGTAAGGAATAATTTTGATGAGGGAAGTTATTTGGTTTCAGAGATCGACCAAAAGCTTCAATATCTCTCTGCATCGATGCAGAATTTGCAGGGGATCCTTCTGAGAGATTCTTGACAACAGGTTCTCTATCTTGTGAATCATTCATCTGAACTGGTTCAATGTTTTGACATGGTACTTGTCGAGAAGGGCTTTCGTTCACTCGCTGTTCTTCCCCCTCAACAGAGCCCAAAATATTCACTGTGCTTGTATCAAGCTCAGATGTGAACTTCCGTTCCTTATTTGCATCTTGATCACCTTGCCTCTCAGCAGCAGACAATGATGACTCCATAATACTCAATTGATGCGACTGGTGAATTTGAGAAGACTCCTTGCTGGATTGAGCACCAAAAAGGGGCTGCCGTGGTGGAAAATTTGTCCACATATTAGCGAACATTTTTGAAGATGCACCCTGTTGAGCGATGCCAGACGTTGAGTAAGGCTGAGAAACTGACCCTGGCTCCTTAGATGAAACTTGATTTGCAAAGAGCCTTTCATGGGGATCATTGGCATTACTTAACTGAGATGTACCCGCAGAGATAGTAGGTTTATCCTGTTTAACATCACCAGCCCCTTCGGGCACGGAAGGCTGTATAGATTGACCACTAACAGGTCCTCTGATAGACTCGCCTTTCTCAGCAGAAAGGGGACCATGTTTATTGAAAGATACATTTATAGACTGATTTGTTGAGAGTTGCCCAGTAGCTCTAACCATAGGTGGATTTTGATATGGGCTTCTCAGGTAAGGAAAACCAGAACTAGAATCAAATGCTGAAGAAAAATTTCCAGGCATCGTGTACAAAGAAGTTTCATTATATGTACTCCCTGGAACCCCAGATCTGTTATTCTTCAACTCTTCCAGAGAGTGTTCAGCAGGAGGCAAGGATTGACCCAGATGAGGAGGGCGCATCCGCCCCCGACTCTTCTCTCTGATCTCCTCCGCAGCTCGAGAGTGTGAAGTGCTAGCTGCTTGGATACTCTGAGATGACAAAGAATGGTTTTGAACTGATACCCGTTGAGATGGAGGGCCAAGTTGTAGACTAAAGCCTTGAGAGGCAGAAGATTGACTTTGCTGGAGATGACCGACAGACCCATCAGAATTTTCTGCTTCAGGCATCTCAGATGATACTTGCTGTTCAGAATTACTGCACTGAGTCATAGAACCACGCACACTTGATTGGTCTACCTTCTGAAGAAGCTGGAGCATGTTTGGACTGCAACCAGAAAAACAATCAAACAATAGAACACAAACTGCAGTGGAACAGTTTTTACAGCAGAACATGGCAGTCAACAAGGCCACTAAGAAATATGTGGAATAATGAGCAGAAGAACTTCTAACTCTTCTATGATCTTTAGAGATTTACCTAAGAGCATGATTAAGTAAATAGTTAAGAGTATCAGGATATTAACTACCTAGTTTGTGCAGCTGTATTTGGTGAATATAAATCTGATCTATTGAAGCGCCCAAGCATAGTAGATCCACCACTATGGAAGCTGCTTCGCGAATGCACCTCACTAAAGCCTTTGCCATCTCTCAGACCATTAGACGGTTGCCCCTGTATATTAAGGAACATTACCTTTTATTTAATGACCAAAGATATGTAAGATTCAAAAAATGTATTATGTGAAGCACATATATCACCTCTTCCACTTCTGTCTGACTCTTGGGAACCTGACCAAATACTTCCAACTGGCCATGATTGGCATTGTGCTGCAGCATAGACTGAGAATGACTAGGCTGTTTCCTGTCATAAGCAGGATCCAAATCCTCATCCATGTTTCCCATGGGATGATACTGAAACTTGCGAACCCAAGAATTTTTCTGGCCAACCTGATCAGACGACTTCTGCTTAGTAGGAAGACACCTTGAATCACTCGCATCTGACAAGATATTTTCCCTCATCGCAGCAGAAGAAGGAGGGAATAAGTTAGAGCGGTAGCTGTCATTCGAGTTCTTATCGCTGTTCTGCATCCCATGCATTTTGACTTCTACGTCACTAATACCCCTCGAAGAGTGAAAGACCTGATTGTCTTTGGTAACATGACGCTGTAAAGCTCCCGAGGCTTTGCTTACTGTAGACTTGACAAAGGAATCATTGTTCTTCCAATAATCAGAATGATAATTATTTTGCAGTTGACTGGTTTCTTCGCCACCCCTCATGGTACTTGACTTGGGTGCAGAGCCAGAATTATGCAAGTTAAAGACCTCCGATTTCACTTGGTGATTAGCAATAGATGATCCTGCATGCTCCATATCAACTGCAGAATTATGGCCAGAGTTAGAGTTCCATGTCACACCACCTTGAACAACTTCAGCTTGGATGAATTTCTTCCTATTGTCATCCTGGGAACGACTTGATGAATTCTCACTCGAAACTCTTAAAGCTGCATCTCCAGAGGGCACTGCTGATCCTACGTCACTCCAACCAGCTGATTTGTAGCATAGTTGTCTAGCTCCACCAATCTCAGGTGTCAAAGAACCAGAAATCTTTCTAGCATTTATTTCGCTGTCAATAGGATGTGAAGCACTCCCAAACATCATCTGGCTTACTTCAACAACTGACTTCTGCCGTGGACCGAAATTTGACAACTTGCTTCCTTCCTCCGATGACTGGACAAGTCTTTGAGAAGAGTTGGCATGCAAACTCTGGCCTGGCTCATATGGGAGCCTGTGGCCTTGGACATCGGAATAGTTATTGTTCATATTGGTGCTATCAGAGGGCTGAACAGAAACAGAATTCAAGGATGAGTTTGGGGGCAACTTTCCCTCAGGAGCAGATGTTTTATGTCTCCCACTGTTATACATCAAATTCTGAGTTTCTGAAGCAATTTCCGTACCGTGAAAATTTAAACCACTCCATTCCTCCTGTACCCCAAGGTCACTGCTAGAAGTTTCTGCAACAGCAGAATGCATAAGTGCACTCCAAGTACCATTCAATAATCCTGCACCATCAAATGAATTACCATCTTCCCCATTCATATCAGGGCTCTTGCCAAAGGCTGCCCATATATTATCCTCTGAACCAAACAATATTCTTTCTTCTGTAGGATCTAAGCCGACTTCATTCTGCAAGGAAGAAGCATGTGCCCCTGCTAGTTCCTGTGAGTTTTCTGAAGGAACAGCCAGACCCTGTCTGCGAGAAAAGTCCTGGAAAGCTGAACTGTTCTGCATAATATTTGCTTGTTGAGGGTTCTCCATATTTATCGGGCTAGTCAGAGCTTGACTTGAAGCATGTCCTAGAAAATGGCCGCCTTGGGATCTCTGTCTAGGAATGAAAGTCCCATCCTGCCCACTGACTTGATCCGACAATGCAGCATATTGATTACCCGGAAATGAACTATCAAAGGTCGGCATTGGACGCGTTGTGGGCTTATCAATTACTTGTGAAAATGGGTTCACACTTCCTCTTGAACCAGAAACAGGAACTCCATATAGAGATTGGTCAGCTGATGGAGGAATCAAACCCATTAACTGTTGTGCTTGCCCAATGTTGGTTGGGTTGAGTCCATTGGAACATCCCTGAATGATTGGAGAACCGCGTTGCAACCAATTTGTGTTGCCAAGATCACTTGCCCAAGGATAATTTAATGCACCAGAATTTGTAGTGTCATGAACCAATGCAGGGGGATGGCTACCAGATACCTGATTTAGTGTATTTTGCTTCCTGGCATCTAATTGCTGAAGTTGGTGCTGCCTCTGAAGTTCTTGCATCTTCAACATGAGTTGCATTTGCTGCATGTCACTATGCCCAGACTGCTGCCGCTGCAGAGACTGCAGCATGTTTGATTGCTGTCGATTCATTTGCTGACCACCAAAAAGATCAAAACTAGCAGGACTCTCAGAAGGTTCTGACCGAACTGGTACTCTTGCCTGCTGCTCTGGACCTACTCCTTGCTGTGATGCATAAGGAGATAGGCCTCCTGAGGCTAGACTACGTTGATCATTACCTGTATCGATGGAAAGAAATTTTGCTTCATCCTGCCTTGTCTGGTGAAACTGATTGCTATACATGTAACCATTCAAATTTGCCTGCTGATTTTGTGACTGGCTCTTTGCAAACTCAGGCCTTGGAGTGGATTGCATAAAATTCAAGCCATGCTGGCTAGTAAAAGGGTAACTGCTCGGCCCTTTCCCACTATCTGCAAATGCAGGAAATGTAAGAGAACAACTAACAGACTGAGATATAGCTATCAAACAATAGTTTAGAGAAACATGACATGTCAAATTACCAGAGTTCTGTAAATTGTAATTCTTTGTGTTGGGAGTCAGTACACTTATCTGTCTCTGACTTCCAACCCACAGATTGTTACTATGAGCTGGCCAATTTCCCTCCACTACTGGGGAATGATGCTGCTCTTGTGACAAGCTGTCTTGTGCAAAGAAGTTGTGAACCCTATCTCCAACATCGTTGCCAGGCATAGATGATTTAACTCCAAAGCCTTTGATTGTTAAATGTTGCTACGTGGGTACTAACATAGAAATATATCAATGAATATCAATTAATTCACAACCTCACATAGCAACTGATGTACAATCCAGCATTTAGACAGTCACCTGGTCACTATTCTCTTATAAGTTAAGAATGGCTGCCTCAAACTCCTGCAAGAAGATCATTCAAGTGTAGTTAGGTCAAGTTGAAACACTCATAGTGCTTTTTGCTACCAACAGTGCTAAACAATAGCTGTCAATAGATGTTATTTGAGATTACCAGAAAGTGGCATGCAGTAATAATTGTATGTTCACACTTTTGATGGTACTACTTCAATGAATAAGTAAATATGATATGAACACAAAGATACCATCTACACGAGCAATATGAAAACGAGGGCATAATCTTTATCAGAAAAATGAAAGAGAGGGCATAACCAATTACTTATGGATGTTCATATTCAATGGGAGCTCTAATTTTTTATTCAAATAAGATCCCAGCTCCAACGCTGGACAGTGGACACGACATAAAATTTTGGGCATGCAACCTTAGGATTTGCATGTGCAAGTTCGACAGCCTAACAGGTTTTTGGTCTATTGAATAAAATCTTAGTGTTGATGCATTTTTCTTATTTGCCCAGTACCAAATGTTATCACAAAACGCAATACCACTGGAACCATAAAATATTGACCCCTGTTGCTGTTTTCACCATGCGTGGACAATCAATTACTAATCACAAACCCATATTACAGTATGCCCCTCCCACATCATAGCACTACCACCTCATCAAAAACCCCTATAAACCATTCGTTGCAGGGCTCTTCAACTATCTTAACTTGTGCCCCAATCATGCCTAATATGCTCCAGTTGGATCAGAATTGAGAATCCTAAGCACCAAGATTTCCTAGGAGCAAACATATGTTTTGTGCTTGTAATGCTTTATTGGAACTACTTGAACTTCTTACTACATGACCAAATTGGTAGTAGCTAGGATTTGTTATACTGGTTTCCCTACTTATAGCTCTTGGCCACCAATTTTTTTTTCAAGCAAGCATATTTCAATTGAGAAAATCAATATGAAGAATCTTCACCAGAGCGATCCTAGCTTGTTGCAAACAAGGCAGTTAAATTGGATCCAACAAATAGTAGTTAATTAGCAACTAAAAATGATTATGTAGGGTCCTTATTCCCTGTCAAGAGCAGTGTTATCAAAGCGCGCTTAAGCCCAAAAGCGAGGCTCAAAATGTGTTGAGCGCTTTAGTGTTGTCATCAAGGTTCTAAGGCATACTTTTCCTTGCCAATGAGCATTATCGTGACGAAGCAACACTAAACCATCGTGAATTTTCTTCAATTTCTTTGTCCATATTTTTGCTTATAGATATTAGTCTTAGACTACACATACATATTTGTAGTTTTTCTCTATATGTGCCTTTCTTCTTTAAAGCCCACACTTTATTTGCATTTTGCACTTAAAGCCCTAACAAACCTTAGAGTTTTTTTGCGCTTTCGCCTTTGATAACACTGGTCAAGAGTCGAGAGAATCATCAATAATACTATGTAGAAATTTCTATTGATTATGTCGTTGTATAAGTCGACAGGTTCATCATAAATTTCGTCACAGTTGAAAGTTAAGAGTAATTAAAAATTGTGTAGAACACTCATAATGATTATGTCATAGTAATTAGGAATCCCAAAAACTTAAAAACATTCCTTATTTCATGTAGCTCAAAAGTTCTTTAAAATGAGTCCTCTTGTTTGTTGTCAATAATCAAATCCACAAAGTTTTTCTCCTTTTTTCTCTTTTTTTCATATGGTATTGTGCCAATCCTGTACAAATTTAAGTTGTTTCCACCCTGTAGACAACACTCCCATATGCCAGCGCCCAATGCAATGCCAAATTTTCTGACCATATTGGCTAAACAATAAAGTTGGGGTCCACATCTGTCTAGGACTAATGTTATCAGTTCACATCAACTAACCAGTCAAGTCAGGACTCAACATTGGTCTAGCTCTACATTTATCTACTAATCAATCTATGACAACTACCATCTCAAGTTAGTCGTTTATGTCAATTGACCTGTCAATTCCTGATTAGCGTCATGTCATTGACAAACCATTACTTAGTCAGCAGTGTGGAATGCCAGCAAGTTGTTAGTATCTTGTTTGTCATTATCAACTTAGTCAAGTTCACGACATGCAATCATTCTGATGGATTCACAGCAAAACACAGCCAAGGCATTCTCACGCTGTTGATGGGTTAAGTGAAGAGAAAATGGTACTAATACCACAGTAGTGATCAATAGCACCGGTATCAATGGTACACTGCTAAGTTAGTTTTGTCTCATTGCCAAAGTCAATTGTATTTCCAGCAGCACTTCATAGTTTAGAGTTGCAAGCTCAGGTTGTTTATCACCTTGAGTTTGAGGGAGTGTATAAATGTCAAGCGCATCACAAAGGAGTTGCTTGGTTGGCCACAATAAACAAGAACAATCCAACATAAAATTCCAGATAAGTAGTATAATGATTTTTTTGTACTGGGAATAAGTGGTATAACGTTTAGTTGGTTGAATAAGAAAAAATTAATTTTCACATAACTAATGCATCATTTGGTTGATGGTATTAAACTCTGTATAACTAATGCAGTATTTGGTTGACAGTATTAAACTTTGCATTCCTAATACTAGCATAATACAAGAATCAATATATTATTTTACGTGGGCAGCAGACTAGAGTGTGGAACTCTCTAACATGTTATCTCACAAAAGGCAGGATGATACCGACTCGACCTCAGTAAAATGCACATGTTCATCTCCCCAAAACATTTGCATGTCCACAAAACAAAATCACTTTAAGTGTTTCCACTTTGGCTGGATGTTGATAACTTGGGGAAGACGAACCATGAAAAGAAGCAACGCAAAGCAAAAAGTCAAGCTTTAGACTTCTACGTTCCTACACTATGATTACCTTCACTGGCAACAATGATGAAATTGTTCTTTCCTTTGGGTGTATTAAAGTACAACATAAACAAAATAACATTGAGGATCCTTTTGGTAGTCTCTAACTAATCTTTTCTCATAGACCTTCAGTGCTATCATCACGAGTTAACAAAAAGAAAGCAACTTCAGGATCCCTTCGCGCTACTTCTTCTTTTCTATAAATGATATTTATTAAAGCTAGTACCAAGAAGGTACTGCAAAAATTCAAAACAAGGAGAATTACAACTTCAACAAAATAACTCTCAGTACATAGTTTCCAGGAAATCAACAAGCTGTGACACCTCCCCAACTATCTGTTCCTTGCACCAAAAATTCTCTCTACTATCTATCAAACAACTTACTTCCCTTTGCAGTTACCAGCTACCTCTTTTACTTTCAAAAATCATATGAATCAACAGAATGCAGCTTACTCCAACGCATTACAGGGTTAAAAATTTAAACAATGTATAAATCGACAAACATAGCAACAGAGAACAATAAAAGTCCTTCAGAGTGTCTTCACTAAATTGGAAAGTAAAACATTTCCTCCAAAAATTGACAAACATCAACTCCTACTGGAAGAAGTTCACATAGATCAATCTAAATTTAACTACTTCCTCAACTCAAAGACTCCAAATCGCTTTCTGAAGCGTGAAAGCACACATCTAATAACATAAATATAACTACCAGTACCTCTGCTTAATTCTATATGCAGCTGTCCGTTACTAGACATATGCTGAAACGGATTGAAAGCAAATAACTATCTCAATCCTTATCTACAGGAAAGAATACAACTAGCAAAGAATGTAAGAACCATAAGTTATTCCAAGAAAACGAGTATCAAATTTACAGCTATGTTACAAGAATCTTCCAAAACCCGCTTCCCCACCAAGTGTCTATCCAACAAGATTTGGCAGTCATGTGGCATATGCACCAGATTTGCTCAATTTACTTGGTGTGCATTGCTTACGACCATAGCCAAGAAGCATTGGTTGGTTGGGTTTTTAGTTTCATTGTTGCTATTGCGTGAGATGTACTAATGGAATGCAATATTAGGTACTGTGAAAAGAAACTATCCACACTTGTTTGGTCTAGTGACTTTTCAATTCATTACTACTCCTAATAAATAACTATGCTTTTCAATTAATTACTACTCCTAATATGTTAACTGTGTATATACTGTGTGCATGTATGTGCAAATAATAGCATGCATCTATTACCAATATCTCAGCACAGGTACCCATACTTCTATCCACACTCTCGAATCTTAACAATTACGTGAATACGTGATGATAAATCTGTATTAAAGATCGGCACCCTTGTCCATGTAACATACTAAACAGTGCTATGTATTGTTTTAATGGCATTGCACAAAGATGTTCTCTTAATACCCTTTCTTAATGCTTATCCAGACTAGTGGTAACACAAAAAGTTACAAGATGCAAAAACAACCTCCTCTTGTGCTAATTGACTCTTCAAGGTTATATCCACAAGAATATATTACGTCTTTTTCCTATCACAACTTCTGCTCACACTAGAGAATAAAGTGGAACTCATGGGGGTTGGGGTAAAGACACAAAAGAGTAGCTTGAAGATATAAATAATGGATGAGACGAGTCCTCGCACAACAAACTAAGTAAATCTAGCTACTAATTCCACTGCCGGACTTCTTGTCTAGCTAAAAGAGTAGTTTTTTTTAAAACCATTCAGAATTCGGAGAACATTTGAGAATTCTCAGATCAGTATTCTTCCATCTCATACTGTTCCAAGAATGATAATTCCAAAGCAAAATCAACATAAAACTATACATAGAAATTTAAAAGACAGATTCCAAATTCAATGCCCACGTAATCTACAAAAATGGAGCCGAAATCAGATCAGCACCCATTCACATTGCGTTAGAAGGGGCAACATATTGCTAAATGCTAATTACACTGTCAAAAACCTAAAAAGGTTTTTTTTTTGTGGGGGTGGGGGGGGGGAGCATTTTGGTTAAAAAGGAACAATTATTTTACAACTACTAGCGTCATCTAAAAAATCTCAAAAACATAAATACATAGTGATTTCCTTAAGCACCCAAGGGTGTGGCATAGCAGTCAATGCAGTGAAAAGCATGGGAGACCAATGTTCAAATTCTAGAAAAGACAAGAAAAGCTAGGTGATTTTTTTACATCTGCCTAAGCCTTAGTGGGCAGAGTTACTCCTTATGTTTGCTACTAGGAGGTAGCTGGTACCTGGTGAAATAATCTAACTGAGTGCAAGCTGGGCCAGACACCATTGTCATTTACAAAAACACAAATTGACCTAACAATTAAGAACAAAATGGTAGCATAAGCTGCAAATTTACTGTACTAGAGCCTCAAAACACCGAAAATCCAGCACTAAATGTGTCCATCGAATGCAAAACATTTGGTGCATGCATAGAGAAAACTAGGGTTTTATAATAGTATTTAAAGATAAATTCATAAATTAAACTCACGCAAATGTTGAAGCTGACACCAATGGAGCTTGGATCCTTAGAGTATTCGAATTCTAGGGTTTTTCAATCGACGATAGGAAATGGTAGCTGTGAAGAGAGAGAAAAAACGAGCTGATTGGAGAGAGAGAGAGAGAGAGAGAGATAAAGTGATCGAAAATAGTGCGAAATTTTCAACGAACTACTGTGGAGCGAGGTTAGGTTCGGACCGAGGCTAAGCTTCGGTTAGGTTCGGATCCGAACTTGAGGTTCGGAGGTTGTGTTTCGATTGGCTCATTTTCAAAAGGCTCGTGGAAGAAATTGCGTAGCTCTCCAATTACATACTGACACGTAGACGCAGCAGGTGGAGCCCACATTTTAAATATTTTTGCAATTTAAATTTCTGAACAATCGAATGGCATCTTATAGTATAGGAATAATTGTTTGGTCTTTTAAAATTTTCCCTCCAAAAATGTGGTTTACGTGATCATAAAAGTGGACAAAAAGAGAAAAATAGGTTACCTTTTTCTTTTCTAATAGCTAACGTGAGCTTTTCTTTTTCTTTTTTGAATATAAGGTAATGTGGAGAGGAAGGTTACTCAAAATGTTTTGTGCCATGTTTATAGAAGAAAAATAAATGGTAAAAGGAGACAATTTTGATTTGTTACTTAAATATGTAAATAATTTTATTTTTAATGGTTTATTATTTATTTGCAATGATATGATGAGATGTGTGTTTTTAGTTATAGATATTTTAAATAATGTATAGCAATAAGATGCAATTAATTTAAAACGGACATTAGTAGGTAAATAATAAAAAGTGTTCCTTATTTTGATGCGAATTTATAATTGTATTTCCAACAAATCGTGCAAAATTAGGGAAAGAGATTCAATCAATAATAAACGTTACATGAACAACTAAATATTAGTCAATATTCAGAAGCTACATATGAAAACATATTAAAAAGGTTATAGTTTGTACTTATGCATAAATTAAGTTAAATTAAATTAAAGAATTGTATATCTTATGAACAATTGTTACAGTGAGTTATAGCTTTAACATGTTTGACTAAATCGTTAATTTAATGCTAAACTCGGAGTACAATGATTAATATTTTTGCTCAAACTTCGTATAATTATATTACATTGTCAAATGTAAACAATTATTATAAAGTATATTATTAAAGCTCTGCTTCTATTAATGAACCAATTTATGGAGCAATATAAGCTTACTGAGAATACGTATTTAACGTTAATATATTAACAAAGGTCTAACTTAATTTACAAAGCTTATTTTTTCTTGTTTTAAACATGATTTTACTAGTGTTGAAACAAAAACATATTTTTATTACTATAAAAAGAAGCCTCTTTCTGGAAGAGAGGTATATCTATGATTTTCGTTGATAAAAAATTGCTGCAATTTGTTAGCACGATGATTTCTAAAATCTCCACAATGAAGTGTCTCGCAGTCAATGTGGGAGTTTTTCAATGGACTACTATAATCAATTAGCTACAAAGATTTTACGGATGGGAAACTCTTGCAAATTAAAATTTAAATAAATTAAAATATCTTCTAGAAGAAACTTAGCGGCGATCAGAACCTTCACAATATAGTTTAACAAATTTTACTAAAACTATATAATTTACACTGCCATAAAATATCTTTTTATCTTTCCGTGCTTTACAGTTGTTGTTACAAACATTACCAGTGAAAACAAAAAGCTACGGTGATTTGGAGATGTAAAGATTGTGCAAAGGTAATGCTTATATATTGAACTAATACTTTCTCTAAAATTATTATTATTATTATTATTATTATTATTATTATTATTATTATTATTATTGTTGTTATTATTTGCATAAGCACTTCATGTGTTCAAGTCACTTTTTCTGATATGTTTAGGGAATCGTGAGAATATTTTTTTATGTTGGAGATCATTTTGATGCAGCTATTATGGGAAAAGTGGGTAAAATTATTATTCTTTCCACCTTTCCTTGCAATTCAGTATTAGAGTATTATATTTTCAGGAAAAACGCTATTAGTTTTACTTTGTTTTCTATATTTAATTACTCAAGATGATTTTCTAATGTGAATTCATATGAAATATTGATATTTTGAATCCTAACTTGTGTCGAAGCTACGAATATTTTTATTGTAAGGTGTAACAAGTGATACAAAGCTTTGCCCAATGGAGTTGAGGATGCAATTTGTAAAGCAGAACATGACACTAAGAAAATATTTATGAATTTTTCATTTTTAGCTTTCTTTGTAAAGTGCAAGTCTTTACTATTATATATTATAACAAATAATATGTTATTTATATACATTTAAATAAAATGAAATAAAAAAAAAAGTTTAACGTATTCTTCCAAAAGTCGCTAAATAATCTTCCTTATCTACTCTTCTCCAAATTTTTCACATATAAATTTGATTGAGATATTATAATTGTTCTTTATTATCTACGTTAAGCAAATTTTACATGCTATAACCTTTTTAATAAGTGTACAAACAAAGCAAATTGAAGACTTTAGAAAACTTTAGCAATTTTGCCAAGCCAACTCAATCATTTCACAGCAATAAAAGTAGTGACATATTCTTTGTTAAATTGAGTAAATTGTTCATGATGATAAAATATTATATTATATTTATGATATAATTAAGTTATATATGCATATATATAATACATATTTATGTTATTTTAACTGTTTGAAATATAAGATACACTACAATGCCCGTCTCCAAAACTAGTTACATACATAAAAATTTAATCAAATATAATAATATTAGTGTTGTATACATTTTTATAATAAATGAACTTTGAAAATACTTTGATACAATTGTAAATAACATCTTGTTTGGATGTTTGTTACATATTGTTTTAAAATGTATCATATCATATTGTATTATATTGTAATGTATCGTTTGATGAATATAATATTTGGATAGATTTTATCGTTTGTCATCGTTTCATGAAATCATGCACCAGCAACATGAAGAATAAACTTGCAATATTATAAAAGAAAAATTATGATACGAGGTGAAATTATTATATAAAAAGGTAAAGTAAAAGATAAATAAAATTATTCAATAATAACGAAGCGCGGAATGAGAGAAAAAGACAAAGCAACGACGCGACCACACCAAACTGGACGTTATATAAAGTAACATTTTTCATTATTATGTAATTTAACGATACGATATAATAAAATTTACACTCTGTTTGGATCATTGTTACCCATCGTTTTATAATGTATTGTATTGTACTATACTGTACCGTATTGTATCGTTTTGATGAATACAACGTTTGGATAGATTATATCGTTTGCTGTTGTTAAACAATATTTTTATTGTTTGGTTTGACTGTATTGTATTGTATTGTACTGCTATATTTACTAAAATACCCTCAATTATTTTAAATACGATGCTTCTTAAGAACTACTCATAAAAATAATTTATTTATTTGACCTTCCGATCTTCCTCACAGGGAATCATCATTCTACCATAGTAACGAAAGCACCAAACTGGTTTCATAAAAAAAAAAAAATTATAGCCCCATCAAAATAGAGAACAACGGACCTTCTGTTCCTGTAGTTTGGAATGGTAGAAGCCTAAGTAAATTATATATGAAATTATAATTAGCAAAAAGTTTGCAAAGATTAAAGATGAGATAAAAATACAGAAAAAAGAGAGGGAAAACTAACCAAAAAAATAAACGAAGAAGGACGGAGACAAAGTACGTAGTTGGGTGAAGTATAACATAAATAATAGGGTAAAGGGTAAAATTGAAATATAGAATAATTAGTGTGGGCGTAATTGGAAAGAGAAATACGGAACAATCCCACCAAACCGATTTGGTTGTTTCATAAAATGGGGCTTTTCATTGTTCCGGAACAATAAATTTAACAATACAATACAATCAGTTTTATATGAACAATCAAAACAAATATTGTATTTGGGGTAACATACAATACCACAGATAAAATAATGACAATACCATATAATATCGGGAGAAATTCAAAAATAGCCAGATTTACCACTGGTGGTTGAAAAATAGCCAAGTTTCAAAAGTCATCGAAATTTAGCCACTTTAAATCTGAGTGAAAACACTATTCAAAATCCGGAAAAATACGCCCGCAAATTTTACGGGAGTTCCAGCATAAGTATGCTTGAACTCCCGTAAATTTTACGGGAGTTCCAGGATAACTATGCTGGAACTCCCGCAAATTTTACGGGAGTTCAAGCATAATTATGCTGGAACTCCCGCAAATTTTACGAGAGTTCCAGCAAGTATAATTGTCCAGTATAATATACTGGAGTTTGGAGCACTGGTGCTCCAGTCTCCCGCAATTTTTACAGGAGTTAGCAAAGTATACCGGTCCAGCATAATATGCTGGAGTTCGTACACAAATGCACCAGAACTCCCGTATATTATACTGGATCGGTCCCTGTTGCAGCAAAATAGTGGCTATTTTTCATTGACTTGATAAACGCTGGCTATTTTTCATTGACCACTGTGAAAACTGGCTATACCGTCATATTTTTATCTATAATATCGGACATAATACTTCTTTTCGCAACATATTTACGACATGCAAAAAGCATTGTAAAGAGGAGACTCGAAAGAAGAAGAGGAGACTCGAAAGAAGAAGAGGAGACTCGAAATCGACGGAAGAAGAAGAAAAGGAGACTGAAAATTTGTCACATTATTAATGCATGTCAATTTGATTCTCTACGCAATCTTCTCCCTGTTTTTCAAACAGTGGGCTTGATATATGCAAAAGACTGACATTTGAGCAAGGAGTACAAAAGAAGTGAATCATTTAATATCAGCAGAAGGTAACTACTAGCTCCACTATTTTTCATCACTGTATTGTTCAATGGGGGTGAATACTAACATTGAAGAAAGCAGGGATCGTCGAGTTGGGTTGATATACGATGAAGGAATGTGTAAGCATTCATGCACAGACGATAATCGCCATCCCGAAAGCCCTAATCGTATCCGTGCCATCTGGAAAAAGCTCCACTATTCCGGAATTACTAATAGGTAATCAGAGAATTAAACTCAAGATAAATGTGACATCCTACCTGATTTTTTTTTTTTTTGGTTTTGCATGAGATCATCTAGGGTTTATGAGGCGTGATTATGCTATGATTAAGCTGCATATTGTGATTCTACAGTGTTCTGGGTGCTCGGAATTGTTCATTGGGCTGTAAAAGCTAGTTTTGGAAGATATTCTGTTTATGATTGGCGAGAACATATATAGGGCGTGTTTGACCAAGGAAAATGTAAAAATGTTTTGTGGAAAATAAGTGAGTTTCTTGCTTATTTTCTGGTGTTTGGTAAGTAAGAAGAAAATATTGTTCTAAGAGCATTTACATATAATTTAGGCAAATACAATGGGATGTGGCAAGGGGATTGTGGGTGGGGGCGGAGGTGGGGCCCGGGGGGGGGGGGGTAGTGGCAGGGGTAGCAGGGTGGGTGTGTGGAGGAGACAATGGGCGTGGAATGTCACTTATAAACTTGTTTTCCATACTCCCACCAAGGAAGTTATTTTCCTGATTTTTAAGGAGCTTGTTTTTATAGAGAAAATGTTTTCCAAGATATTTTGACCAAATGTTTTCCTCCATACCAAACACATCCACAGTGTTCGATCTTTTTGAGCTTTTTATTCCTAAATTCCTTTTTAACTTTTTATTGTAAATGTGTTGGGTGCTTAACTTAAGATTCAAACATGTCTATCTTATGAATTGAGTCACAGACCGGCTACGTCTTTGATGATTTTCTTGTAATTCCTTGTTGTCTGCTTAGTGACCAACGATCTCAACTATACTTCAATCCCGAACAAGTTGGGGAACTTATATGAATCCTTGTGTCCATTCAAAGGATTTATCATAATTTACTATCTTTACGGCGGTTGTCTTTTTTCTGGTTTGGGAGGTTATGTTTTGCGAAACCCACATAATATGATTTTTGTAACCCCTCTCTGTCGGGTGATAACTCAAAGCTTGAGTCTTTTGATGTAAATGTTACTCTTCATTTTATATGTTGGTGTTTGAAAGGGAATGAAGTTTAAGAAAGAAAGAGCTTTGACATATTCCAAAAGTACTCTTCGAGCTTATGGTCAAACATGCCGTGACATGTCTATGACTATAAGAGTATGTCATTAAGCGCACAAGGAGAAGTTTAAAGTTAAAGAGTTTCTAAATATAAAAAGAAGTCATTCTCATGGGAAGAGTGCCATATAAGATGGAACATATGGAGTATAATTATCTGTTTTTTATTTTATTTTATTTTATTCTCGGACTCTCCATGAAGTATTTTGATCCGCTTCATTTTCTTTTCCCTTTTTGTCCGATGTAGCGGGTAAGTCAAGTGAAATTCGTTCTAAAAGGTATTAGTGATCTGTTCTGTTTCAGATGCCGTATTCTGAATGCAAAGGAAGCAAGAGACAAAGATATAGTTTTGGTTCACACCAAAGGTCACATTAATTTGATTAAACAAATAGGTTCAGAGAAATTTTCAAGAAGAAAGAGGACTCTTGAGGAGTTTAATTCCATATATTTCAATGAAGGCTCATCAGAAGCAGCTTATCTTGCTGCTGGTTCGGTCATTGAGGTATGGCACTCAGAATCTGTTGTATGCATGTCTCATTGGATGTCACTTTTCTCTAGCTTGTTAACTGACCCATAAGAAATGACAGATATACAAAATAATTTCGTCCACCCGCAGATTTCCCCTTGCAAATTTAGACTAATTGAACTAAAGGAATCTGCTGTTGTTTGTTGTTTCATGATCTATTTGCAATTGTTTTTTATAACAAGAAAAATATTTGCAAGAGCCTTTTAGCTGGACCATTCTATGTTTTATCCATCCGCTATTATGAGCATCAGTGTCAGATTTAAAACCTCTGCCCAATTTTACTTGATCATTTATAAGCTCTTTGGTACTGGTCTATGAAACTTGTTTCTTGCTACAATGTGATCATCAGTACAACTAGTCCTCTCATTCCTGATGCCGGTGATGCAGTTATAGAATTGGGGTTTGAAGGGATTGCAACGCATTACTATTTTAGAGGGCTTTAATCTTAGGTGTATGCACAATATAGGTTGCTGAGAAAGTTGCGGAAGGAGAATTGGATTCTGCCTTTGCCATTGTCATGCCTCCCGGTCATCATGCTGAAGAAGATGAACCAATGGGATTTTGTCTGTTCAACAATGTTGGTATTGCAACAAGTTATCTCTTGAATGAAAGAGTAAGTGCAATTTTTAATCATCAGCTGTCAGAGCTCATCCAGATCTTTGATTAGTTTGGTGGCAATGTGCACATATTGTGATTTGATATGCTAAATAACACCATGCAGGTTGATCTGGGCATTAAAAAGATTTTGATTGTTGATTGGGATGTTCATCACGGAAATGGTACTCAAAAAATGTTCTGGAAGGACCCTAGAGTACTTTTCTTTTCTGTACATAGGTATTTGTAACATTTCCAGTTATTATTTGTTTTTTCTATTCGAATGTGGCATCATACAACAAGATACGTGAAAGCTTCCTGAAAGAATTTTGAGCGTATTTGGGATTTGTACTCTTTGCTTTTACTCTTTGTGTTATTCTCGAAATCTGAGGGCTGAGTTATTGTCTTAAATTATCAAAACTAAGTCTTTTTTGTGGGTATGGTGTATCATTAGCTGCCCCAACTAAGTCTTTTTTTGGGTGTATCACTGTATCCCAACTAGGCACGAGTCCGGAAGTTTCTATCCAGGTGGTGAAGACGGATCACATGTCATGATTGGAGAAGGGCATGGAGCAGGTTACAACATAAATGTTCCCTGGGAGAATGCCGGGTGTGATGATGCAGATTATCTTGCTGTATGGGACAATATATTAGTTCCTATTGCCAAAGAATTCTGTCCTGACCTGATTATGATATCTGCTGGATTTGATGCAGGTAAGTAGAAACTTGGGAGATACATCTGTTGAGATCTTCTGACCATTTGTATAATTTTTTCTTTATTATCTCCTTTCTCTCGCAACTTCAGTTATCAAGTTTTTAAATTTTACATGCTTGATTATAAAAGCATTTTCTTACAACAGCTTCAATTTTTTGGGCATTGATATTTGTTGATCAAACTATTCATATTCCACTTGATACAGTTTATTGTATCTGTAATTTGTATCTACTGCAGGCTTCGTCACTTCTTATCCTTGAAAATATTGCACTTTGAGATTTGCATCTTTTGCTGCAGCAGTAATAAACTTTGACATCTTCAAAATTTTCTCCTTATGATTTGGTATAGACATTTCTGATTTAAAGCTGGATCCTTCGGGAAGTTTAGAGATATAAACCGGATAAGGCTTACAAATACATGGAAACTGAAGGGTTCTGCATAATGAACCTGTTTTGTTATGCCCTGTTCTTGTAATCAACAATGGCCTTTGCCTAATTTATTCTTGTGGTCTATCATTTGTTCGGCATAACCAGTACTATGGGAACACATGCTTATATATGGATAGAAATCGGCTTAACTTCCCTTTGGTTGGGGGGGGGGGGGTAGCAAGCCTTTTTCATTAACTGGTTTGCAGTTAATGCTGAAACCTATACTGTACAGAAACTATGATGCATCTATTTCTTATCATATAGACTTTCAGCAATTCATTTCTTATGCACATGCTGTTTCTTTTCTTATCCTTTTTAACTGTTTAACATTTATGAAATCCTGCTTAGCTAAGAGGTGTATAAAATTTGGCAACATGAGACATGCCTTTATTCCTAAAAGAACATTCTAGATTACTCATATTTTCTTTCTGATAATCTATTTAGAAGTAATCATTGCTACAACTTTCTCTTCTTTGCTCTCGTCTATATAGCTTGATTTATTACTCTTACGGTGTTATTTTTATGACGTGAGCAGCTATTGTTGATCCTCTTGGTGAATGTTGTGTTAGTCCATATGGGTATTCTATGATATTGCACAAGGTGAGCTCAACGTGATTGTTGTAAGTACTGTGATTTTAGTTAGTAGTTAAGTCTCTTCTTTACTTCCGAGTCCTCTGTCGGTCTTTTCTCCTGCATTCTCCAGTTGCATCTAAAAATGAGCTCTTTTGATTCTCTTTCTTCTCTCTTTTACATGTCATTTGGTTTCCGTAATGTGACTGTCCTAGGAACTTTACTTACTTTAATATACTTATCATATAGTTAATGGAGTTGGTGGGAGGCAGGATAGTTATGGCACTTGAAGGTGGATATGATCTTGATTCTACTGCAAAATCTGTCCTTGCTTGTATTGAAGTGTTACTACAGAAAAAACCAATCCTTGGGACTTCTGAGGCTAATCCATCTGAATCCACGTGGCGAGTGATACAATCTGTAAGAGCTCATTTGCTTTGATTTTTTTTAAAACAACTTTGGCATGAAACTTCTCCACGTAAATGCTTTGCCCATTGCTGGCGTACTTCCTATTAATAGCTGGGAAATCTCCGAAAGCCCACGGTTTGAAACTCGGTAGATAATGGACCCGTTCCTCTATCCTTCTCCATTTAAATACCAAGCTTTTGTCGGAGGCATAATATGAACTTGGTGCCATGTGCTTAACTCACACATCACACACTGCGCTCTTACCATTAGACCAAAGCCCGGGGGCCACATTGCTAACAAACTTAATTCTCCCTCCATTTCATTTTGTGTGAACTTGTTTGATTGGGCACGAAGTTTAGAAAGAAATAATGATTTTTGGAACTTGTAGTCATAAACATGCCATGACATTTGCATGGATATGAAATCATGTCATTAAAGTGTAAAATAAAAAGTTTATAGTTAAATTGTTTCTAGATACGGAAATGTGTTATTCTTTTTGGGACATACTAAAAAGAAAATAGTGTCACAATAAATGGAACAGAGGAAGTAGTATATTGGTCTTATGATTTGATGCTTAAATTATTAGTTTCATTGTGCAACATCTTCTAATAGGAGAAACCAAACTATATGTCTTCAGGTACGTGATGAATTAAGTGCATTTTGGCCAACGCTTGCTGAGAAATTACCCAAGAAAGTAACTATGAAGAGAAATCCTTACATTCAGGTTAGATTTTATGTTCCTATTACTGTGATGTTACCGCTTTTTTTTTTTACACATTACAACAAGGTCTAGTATGTGCTATGCCACATCATCATATAAGAAACGTTGATATAATGTGTGAATTTCTTTTACAACAATTTCTATTTTCCAGTGTAAAGAAATAATTTCATTGGTTCTCAAGCATGACTATGAAAGTTTGGGAGAGGGTGGTGGAGCTGAGGGTGAGGAGGAGTATGTGTCTATTTTCGAGAACCAGTTCGGGTTTATGCTGGGGCGCTCGACTACGGAAGCCATTCACCTTGTTAGGAGATTGATGGAGCAGTATAAGGAGAGGAAGAGGTGCTTGCATATGGTTTTCATCGACTTAGAAAAGGCCTATGATAAAGTACCGAGGGAGGTCCTGTGGAGATGTCTGGAGGCTAGAGGTGTACCTGTTGCTTATATTAGGGCGATTAAGGATATGTATGAGGGAGCTAAGACCACGGTGAGGACAGTAGGAGGGGACTCAGATCACTTTCCGGTTATGATGGGGTTGCACCAAGGGTCAGCTCTTAGCCCTTTTTTGTTTGCCCTGGCGATGGACGTATTGATGCGCCACATCCAAGGGAAGGTGCCGTGGTGCATGTTATTTGCAGATGACATTGTATTGGTTGATGAGACGCGAGGCGGTGTTAACGCGAGGTCAGAGATGTGGAGGCAGACCCTAGAGTCTAAAGGTTTCAAGTTGAGTAGGACTAAGTTGGAATATCTGGAAGTAAGTTCAGCGGGATGACTCAGGAAGTGGAAGGGGAGGTGAGGCTGGATTCACAAGTCATCCCTAGGAGAGGAAGTTTTAAGTACCTTGGGTCTATTATACAGGGAGATGGGGAGATCGACGAAGATGTCACACATCGTATTGGGGCGGGATGGATGAAATTGAGACTTGCTTTTGATGTCTTGTGTGATAAGAAGGTTCCAGCAAAACTCAAAGGTAAGTTCTACAGAGCGGTAGTCAGGCCGACTATGTTATATGGGGCTGAATGTTGGCCAGTCAAGAGCTCCCATGTCCAGAAGATGAAAGTAGCAGAGATGAGGATGTTGGGATGGATGTGCGGGCACACTAGGTTAGGATTAGGAATGAAGTTATTTGAGACATGGTGGGTGTGGCCCCAATTGAGGACAAGATGCGGAAAGCGAGGCTTAGATGGTTTGGACATGTGAGGAGGCGGAGCACAGACGCTCCGGTCAGGAGGTGTGAGAGGTTGACATTGGAAGGCCTAAGGAGAGGTAGAGGTAGGCTGAAGAAGAATTGGGGTGAGGTGATTCGACAAGACCTTGGACCCTTGATAGGAAGGCGTGGAGGTCGAAAATTAGGTAGTAGGGTAGTTAGTTTAGTGTTCTCCCCGTAATACCGGTAGTATTAGCACGTACTTTAGTATTCTATTGGCATAGATTTCTATGACTACCTGTCATTTCTTTCATCGCGGTCTTCTGATTATTTTTTTTTTTTTGATTAAAAAAAAAAACATTACGCTACTTTTACATGGCTTCTCTCTGTTGTGATTCTTGTTTTTCTCTTCTTTAATGTGGTGCTTATGCTTCTCTGAGCCGAGGGTCTATTGGAAACAACCTCTCTATCTCCACAAGGTAGGGGTAAGGCTCCAGACCCCACTATGTGGGATTATACTGGGTTTGTTGTTGCTGTTGTTGGTGGTGGTTCTCAAGCATGAATTATCTTTGCTGTCTATATTGATGGCTTTGTAGATGTTGCACCGTTCATACAACAACAACACACCCACCGTTCATATTTATATTAATGGGCTTCTGAGACTGTAAGTAGAGATAGACATAAAAAAGTGATAACAGCATTATGTTCTATAGTATTATCATCTAATTCTGACAAGCATTTTAGGATATAAGCTTTCTCATATGAGAAATAACTCAGATGTATTTGTTTGTGGCTTCTGCAAGTGTTGCATCATTCAGATTTATATTGGTGGGTTTCTGAAATTGTGATTCGAGATGGAACAGAAAAGTTTTTGCAACATTATGTTGTATTGCACCATCATCTAATTCAACATAGATGAATGAGACTATGAGAGCATATGAGCTTTCTCAAATTCAAGTGCCCCAAAAGGCATAAATGTGCTTGACTGGAACAAAACCAATCTCCTGGTCAAAAGGCTCAAGTTGCTGGACTTAAGACTCAGGCTCGAGTCATGACTTATTCTTATTAGGCTTATGTTAGAGAATATAAGCTCAAATCTAATACTACCCGACAGAAAATTAAATCTATGAAAAGGTTTACAATATATGCACAAAATTGTAATAAAATAAGTATTTTTAGTGAACAGCCCGATGTGTAGTAATAGATTGATTTTCTGCAAGTATAGAGAAATTTATACCATTTAGCTTGATATGTAATCATTATGTTAACCATCATCTCATCAATAGGAAGCGATGTTGGTGCAAACAAGAAGTCAGTTCAGGAAGAAAAATTGTGAGATGGACTACAAAACATTTCTGCAATACAACAGGAGAACAGTAAGGTATACTTCTCAAATTGCACATTTACAATAATTTGCTGTTTGGTCGTCTCTATCCATGCTATCTCAGTTTTATATGTTTGTTATTGATTTATAATCTAATTTCTGTTAAATTAGTAGTCTTCTTTTTTATTATATTCAAGATCTAAAATAAACCAGAGTTCTACCAGGAATATATTTCATTGTTATACGCTGCCAGTAAAGGTATATGCATTGTTTTCTCAGCTTAATTTCTATTTAATTATTTGCTTTCTTCTGTTGGCTGTGTTATATCTGCTGCCAACGCTGTCGCACTTTCATTTGCTTTTTGTCGTTTTGGAATCTTAATTTTTGTTGAATTATTGTTTTTTCTTTGCTTCTTTTCCAGATCTACAATATCTCATAGAAGGAAGCAAGTCGCAGGGGAAAAGAATGTGAAAATGAATGCTGCTGCTGCGGTGGAAAGGAAGGAAGACAATGAAATGACTGATGCTCTGCAATTGAATGATGCTACTGCTGCTACTCTGAAAAGGTGCATTAGTAATAACTTTACTGTGTCATAATATACATATATATATATATATATATATATATATATATATATATATTATATATATTATATATGTGTGTGCGCGCGCGGGCGTGCGTGTGTAATTTCACTTTTATTTGTTTGTTTAGTAATTTAGGATCTTAATTTTTGTTGAATTATTTGTTGGAAACCCTCTCTCTCCCCGTCATTGCACCTTCTTCTTAGGATAGGCTCTATGCTTGCGTAGACCAGTACACGTCCACTATTGCATTGGGATTATTTGCTATGCTAAAAATGCTGGAGAATTGTTCTTCTTGGGACATCTGTCCTATCCATCTATCTTTCCAAAATAAGTTTCCTTATTTACCAACTATGATATGAACTTATTCTGAGAATTCGTTTCATAAGCTTCTGATACACTTCCAATTTCCAACTCCATACGAATGTTTGGTATTGCTGTGGTTCAAGAATTTTATGTCTTGTATTTCTCTCTAATCAATTTCCTCCACACAGCTTCCTCCTTACTGCAAAACATCCATAGCCACTTCATGATAAGACTATTGTTACATGCCCTTAGATTTTTAACTTCCAACTACCTTCCTTCTTGCCATTGGTAGCTCTTTTCCTATTAAACAAATTAAAAGATTTCTTATCCATGTCTCCTTGCCACAAACATCCGTGTCTCAATTTATCTATTCTCTCCTCCACCATCTTTGGTATAGGAAAAAGGGACAAGGTATAAGTAGGAAGTGCATGTAAAACACTGTCAATTAATATCGTCTTCCCCTAATAAGTACCATCCAGGTTATGAGTTTCTTTTCTTACTTGTCACGACCCAAAATGCCAGGACTCATCCAGGTTATGAGTCTCTTTTCTTGCTTGTCACGACCCAAAACGCCAGAACTCATGACCGGCACCTGTCAACCTCTTTGCCGAATGATTCAACCTTAATCTCGACTCATTCATTAGATTTTTAATGAATAAACAAAACGGAAATAGATGTAATTAAACATGATAAGATAGATAATCTGTGAACAACCTCCAAATAGAATGCGGGACAAAAAATAAGTCCAGGCCTATATCGAGTTAAGAGCATCTAAAAGTATAAGAGTACATAATAAAATTTGAATTGACAATAACTAATAAATAAAGAAAAACCCAGCTACCACAGATTTAGAGTGGTTGGCTCACTCTTGAATACTGCAATACCCGAACTCAAATAAATCACAAGGCCCGCTGGTGTTAGGAACGATATCTGCAATAAATGCATAGAAAACAAGAAGGGCGAGTACGAGGAGTACTCAGTAAGTATCATCGACCGTCCCTAATAAGGTCGTGGCGAGAGTCATGATACGATAATAACATTTTTATCAAAAATTCTATACATATATCATAATCAACAATAATAATATGCACACAATCATGATTATCACTGATGAAGTGTGTGACCATCTCATTTAAAAGCTTAATCTGTTAGAGAGAGCACACTTTTATTTACTTAATTATGTCTCAACATGCCCCCTCACGTGCGGGTTTGATTTTGTTTGTATGAGCCAAATACATGAAAATTCTTTTTTTGATAATGGGTGGCGGTGAGACTCGATCCTGGGACCTCTGCCTGCTCTGACAATGTGAGAAGGAAGAGAAATTTTGAGGCAATATTGCTTAAGCTTACCGTTGGGCCCCCATCTTATATTGTCCACACTCTAGATGTCCAGTCTTGGGCGTGGAGGGGGGTGTTGAGTTTCCACAACAATGTGGGGATAGAAAATTGGTCTCTTTATATGGTATTGCGCAATTCTCACCTCATGAGCTAGCTTTTGAGGTCTAAGATCCATTACTTATAAATCACAGTAACAACATGCAATCGATGAACAGATAAAACATACGATGATGATATGCACAATAAATCAATAACAAAGCATATAACGATATGCACAAGATAAAGCATTTAACGATATGCACAACTTCCAAACAATCAATCCACAAGCCCAATAACCTGCTTGCACATTGTCCTGGGTCCACCAAAATAAGTGACTCGTTAGGGAGGAGGCACTCCACACGCACCCAGACGTGAATCCATACGCTTGTAACTGAAAACCCGAGACGTAAATCTGCATGCTCGCCACTGATAAATCGAGTCGTGGATCCAGACGCTCTTAAATAATAACGAGAGTCTTGTATCCATACACTCGTAATTGATAACCGAGTTGTGAATCTACTCTCTTATAATTGATAAGCCGAGTCGTGAACCCACACGCTCGTAACTGATAATGCGACACATGAGTCCACATGCTCCTTAATTGAATCTCGCGTATCCAATGTGAACAAAACTCAAACCACGTATATACCACAACATACAAATAGGCAATGTGCATGATAATTCAAACTTAGCATATATGTATATATATTTCCATATGTTAATCTAGCATATACAAGCGGTATTGTATATAAGCGTCACTATATAGATATAGTATATGCTATATAGTTTAACATTATAGTAGCATATATAGTGTGCTTAAATAACCAGCAAAGGTATATCACATTATGCACAGAAGTGTAATAACAACACAATCCCATATTGTAACCTGGTTCCTATGCATATGCTTGTCACTTCACATACACAATCACCCCCATATACGTAGCGCCTATGTGACATGTTTTAGTTTGGGAAAATTCCCTAAAGAGGTCAAGTCTTAACTTACCACAAATTCGAGTTTAAAGAATTGACGCAAGAATTCGATAATGATCCGTGGTCAATTGGAAGAGGAAAGTGTGCGCTTTCGGGTCTAAATAATTTTGAAGCTGACTTAGATTGTGTGCTTTTTGTGGATCAGTTACATAAGAGGTTGATTCCCCTAATGGGGTTTGGAATGCGAATCACCTTTATATAGAACTCCTAGGTCGGTTAGTGCTGGTTAGGAAAGATTGTGATTGGTCTTGGCTCTTTCTTTTGAGCAGAAAAATTCCCTTAACCTTGAAGTACTCTATTGAAGTTAATTTGTTGAGAAAGGGCACCAGCTTGCTATATGGCGGTTCATGAGTTTCTAGAATTCCTTAAACACTAGGTATTCCTTAGTAATTAAATATTTTACAAATAGTACTTTGGAGTTTTATTTCTTATTTAATTAAGTAATAACAACAACAACTACGCCTCAGTCCAAGCAAGTTTGGGTTGGCAATATGAATCTTCATTCCTTGCATTTAGCTCAACTCATCATTATTCTAGCTAAGTTTGCATTGATTCCACGGATTTGTAGGTCTTTCAAGACAATGTCCTTCCATGTGATTTTAGGTCTACCCCGTCCTCTTTTTACACCTTCCACCACTATGGTTTCACACCTATGGACCGGTGCGTCTGTAGGTCGATGCAGGACATGACCAAACCATCTCAAGCGACCTTATCTCGTTTTATCCTCAATATGTGCTACTTGCACCTTCTGGCGAATGTGTCATTTTTAATCTTATCTAATCACGTGTAACCGCGCATCCATCTTAGCATTCACATCTCTGCAACACTCATCTTGTGGATATGTTGAACTTTAGTAGCCCAACATTCACTACCATATAACATAGCCGGTTTTATAGCTGTTCAATAGAACTTACATTTCACCTTGGTAGGTATATTTCTATCATATAACACCCTAATAGCACTTTTCCATTTCAACCATCCGATTGTAATCGTATGAGCAACATCTTCATCTATCATTCCATTCTCTTGAACGAGCCTAGATATCTAAATTGTTTGCATTTTGGCACTGCAATTCCATCTAGTGTCACTTCAACTTTGCTCTTCTCATGCGGACTAAACTTGCATGTACTCAGTCTTACTTCTACTTATTTTAAAACCCTTACTCTCCCAGATGTTTCACATAGCTAATATTTTTACTGTTTGTTACTTATATTTGTAATGTATCAGTTATTAAAATTAAGAAAACCATAATTAAGAAATAACTCAAAGGTCCATTCCAAACAACTTGAGATAATTAAATGGAGCTACATAAACCTTAAGATATATTAATAGTTAATAAAATTTCCGATACGTAACATCCCCCCCCCACCCCCCACCCCCCCACCCGCGCGGTCAAGAATATACTTTTCTATAACCCCTTTCCGAGACACTGTATTCTTCTTTCTGATTAGAACCCAAAGGCATCCCGAAACATTTAGCTTTTCCCCACATAACATCAATGTAGTCTGCTAACTCTTGTATATTTATCACCTCGTTCACAGAAAAAATCTAACTGTTTCAAAAATTGGTAAACTTGTCTTTAAATATAGTAGTAGATTTTCGTTTGCATCGCACATAATAAGAGTATATGCGCGTAACAAGTGAGAGATCATCATTGAGCTTTGGCCTCTAACTTTTGCCTGGAAACATTTTATCCAGCCCAATGGTCACCCATGAAGAGAATGAGCAAATGAATGTTGTAGCTGCTGCTGCAGAAAAGAATGATGATGAAAGAACTAATGATATGCAAATGAATGATGTTGCTGCTTTGGAAAAGAATCATGATGATGAAAGAATTGATGACGCGCAGATGATTGATGTTGCTGCTGCGCCAGAAAGGTGCATTGACATAATTTTACTGTGATACAAACTCAGAAATACAGAGGAAAAGTTCTTCCATGAATATAGATGTGAAATCTGGCCCAATCCTTTCTTCTTTTTTTAGAAGGTGGGGATAACTTCATTAAAATAAGCACCCAGAGAGTGCAGAGAAAGAGTAGTACATTTCATATTTACGCTAAAATACTAAAAGTGATAAAACATATGTGTTTCAAATTTCAAATGTTTTCTCTTTTACCTTCTAAGTATCTCTGGTCTCTTCCCTCCGAAACTGTCCACCATATTACTTCTGGTATACTGTTTCACAACTTTTTGGCTTCTTTTTGTAGTTAGCTTCTACTCCAACCAAGCATTAGGTCTTTAGGGGATTATGACATGCACCATTTAACTTATAGTAGATTCAGAAGTGCCAAATTTGGTTCGTTATTTTGTAGTGGATGATTAATATTACCTATCACTTGTGTGTTCCAGTGGATCAGTTTTCATTTCAACATTTCATCTTACTAGCCAGGAGAAATCTGGTCGACCTACCACTTCAAAACTCTCCCACCATCTACCTATCGTGTCCACAATACGGGCCTATTTCTGTTACATATTTTCAAATCTAAAGAATGTCCTATTCTCCCATCTCAGTACTGTGGCTGGAGACTAATTTTGGAAGTAGTGATTGTTTAATGTACTAACAAATTTCTTCCCGTTTTGTTGAAAATAGAAATCTGTCTATTCCTGATATTGTATTTGACTGTCCTCTTGTCCATGGAAATTTTCCCCTATGAAGGGGGATCTAGCTACTCCAAATCTTGAATAAAATCTGAAAATTCTACCTTACCCCTTTATAATCTGTGACTATTACTTCTTTCATGAAGATATCTTGTCACATTGCGCCACCATAAATAACCTGATGCCTTTTCAAAATAGTAGCTTGATTAAGTAAATACCCGCAAAAGTGAAATTTACCTATTTGTTTACGGATTTTTAGTTTATATTTGTTTTTATTTGTTTTATTGCTCCTTTTCAGGTTTTGTCCCAATGACAAGAAAAAAGAAATTGCTAAGAAGAAGGAAAAGAGCAAATCAGCTGCGAATACTAGGTGTAGCTTTGGGGATATGTATAAACTCATGACTCTTATAAAGGCTGATGATGCAAAGAAAAACGCTTTAAAGGGCACAATTTTTGAGCATTATCTTGACATCTCTGAACGTAAGATTGCTGTGTCGCTTTTGGTGGCGATGATTGAGAATTTTGATGTCGATAGAAAAGCTTTTAAAATTGGAAATTCATGTATCTCATTTTGTATGAAGGAGGTGCAATATTGCCTTGGTTTCGACTGTGTGGGTGAAGATGTTAAAGTTAGCGAAATTGAAAAAGGTCCCTCACCTTTGTTTTTGAACAAGTACTTTCCTGGATTGAAGTTAACACGTATGGATAGGAAAAAAGCCCTTGAGTTGGTTGAAAATTTCCCTACAGAAATAGAGGGTTGGAAGGATGATTTTTTGAGACTATGTATATGCTACATGTTCTCTGTTTTTTTCTTTACCGGTTGCAATGTATTTATGTCATTTTGGCCGTTGGACTTTTTCGGGAGATCAATGGATGAGTTTAGTCGTTATAACTGGGGGAAAGCAATCTACAACTATCTTCTGGTATCCATAGAACATTTCACTAAGTCGTACAAAAAAAAGCCGAGCCCATATCTGAAAGGATGTCTGCCACTCTTGGAGGTAAGAATCAAATTGTTTTCAAATTAAATTTTTGGCCAATAATTTGGCTAAGATATGCAGCTTATTCTTATGTGTTTATTTTGAGTTTTCGGCAGACTCTGGCTTTTAGAAGACTGGCCTTGAAGTGCGTCAAGAATGATGTAATCTCAAGAGCTGCTATTATAACATATGCGGAAAGTGATATCAGATCGTTGGAGAAATTAAGCGCAGTGTTGAGAACTATGTCGCCAAAATCAGTACTACACAAACTCTAGAATTGATTTTCTTTTTACTGTATCTGAAGTTTATTAGTTCATAGGATTATCATCACCATATCATTCACAAAATTATTATTATGTTATAAACAGATCAACAAGTGTGACGGATGTGTTCCCGCTGATAATGTTGTTGGAGAATCATCCAAACAGATGACTGTTGGAGACTCATGTGATACGCCATTGCACTTGCTCCATCTTCTTCTGAACAAGGTATTTGTTTCTTATCAGATCCTTTGAGTTTGAGAATCAATTTATCTGATATAAGTTGATTCTAATTTTAGTTCTAATTCTAATAGGTGATGGAGTGTAAAACCTGCGGAGATGCTATAACACAATTTCTCCAAGACCTGATACCTGCTTATGTCGACATGATTGATCAAGATCTACATACTAGCTCTGGAAAGCTACTGGAATTCTTAAGACGCAACTTCCACAATCACTTCTCATGAAGGAGGATGTTGTGACTAGTTTGGTATCATCTCTCTGCTCTTAATTCTCCTGAAGTCATCTTAGGCTACCTATTTTTGCGCACGAGACACACTTATCTAAACCGGGATCTTGTGTTGAATACTTGAATATCATCTCTCTGCACTAGCTCTCCCGAATAATGTGTTGAATAATTTCATAGTGCATTTCCAAAGTTGTCCTTTTACTTGTTACTTCTGATGTTTAGTTTCTTTAAACAATCGAATGCTTTGAATTGTTGGAAAACCGATCTTTTAATATGTCTAGATTTGAATTGGTATTTTGGAACCAATCATTTAACCTTATAGTTGAGGCTTCGGTAATATATAAAACTCACAGGGCGGATTTCTATTTAATTTGTACCTCTCCTGAATGTGTAAAATGATTTATAAGTCAATAGAAAATATAGAGCTTCTAGTTACTTTTTTTTTTTTGTTGTACAATATTGATTTGAGATGAATTTAGTGCAGAAAGAAGTGATGGTGCGACATATTTTGTGGTACAAGAGGGGAGAGACTTCATTAAAAGTTGGTAGGTGGAAATGATCTACAAATAGAAGAAAAGACGCGTCTGTGGGATGTTGCGTTGCTAGTCATCATGTGGGTCTTATGGAATGATAGAAATAGGAAAGCTTTTTGAGAGGCTAAAAAATGATTATTTCACATTTGAGGAATAGTCTCTTATTCTTAGTTAGACTAATGTTAGAAGATGCTTGGATAATTTGACAAAATATTACTCTTATAATTATGATCTAATATATCATATTATTTTAATAAATATTAGTTATATTTTATTATTTAATATAGTGTGCAGAAATATAACAAAATCTATACAAACTCAAAGGATGCACATCATATGGTAACAAATAAATTGTTTGTTCCTTATTTATTCTTATTGTCAAATTAGCAAGTAGTTAATTATAAACATTTACTAATGTGATTTTTATTAACTTGTTAATTGGCTTAATATTTTGATACTACTTCTCTTTTAATATAACATATATATATATTTTCTTATTCTTGAAATATATATTTTTGTTTAAAATTATGCTATACTGTTCAAAATTCTTCAATTATCTAAATTTATTGATAAATTTTTGTGAGTGTATTTATTCATTCTTTTATTTTTTAAGTTATCTTTATCCCCCTCTTTTCGTACATTCTTTCTATTGTAATATTTGATTAGTTTTCTTATTTTGTAGTTTACTGAAAATTTAAATAAAAAAATATTTTTCTACTAAATTATAATTTTGAATTCATCAAAAGTATAAAGATATAAGCATTTTATTACAAAAAAACCTATCAATATTTTAATTATTATTAATTTGTGTTTTATATATATATATATATATATATATATATATATATATATATATATATATGCTTATCTTATATATAATATTGTATTGGTCAGATTTGGACTGGACATAATGACTGCAAATGGACGCGGTCGAGGATTAAGCCGACCACGACACAATGGCGAGGAGTCGTCTTAAGAAGGATTAGTGTTGAGGTCAAGTAAAGAATGTATGGAAGCAACAGTAGAATAAGTTCAAAATAGAAAGACAGAAATATTCCAATGGATATTCTTTCGGTTGTACCTTTTAGGGTTTCTTAGGAATATCCCCTATAAATAGGAAGAGATAAAGAACAAAAAGGGGATCTTGATTTTTGGATAAGAACACATTGTAAAGGTTGATTACAGAGAATATACAAAGCTTGTCTTGTCCACTGATTCCATTATTCAACATCTTTTACTCACAAGATCCAAGGATCTCTTGTCTACCTTCATTTTATTTTGTCCCCATGTTGTTGTCAGGAAGGAGAATCATACAAGTCATCTAACATTTGGGTTATAAGTTCCTTCTTATTACATTTATTGCTATTATCTACATTCATTGCAAGCTTTCTTTATTGCATTCGTTGACAATCATTGAGCACTCTTAACCGGCACTCAATATTATCGGACATAATCCTACATTGTTAATGCATTAAGTTTTCAGATCTAGTAGTTCTTATATTTAACTAGGATTCACCCCCCATTTTCTTATTAATTCATTTTAGAAAAAGGTTTAACACTTTTTTGGCAAAACAAATATCATAGTACTATCTTTATACTTTTCATTATGAGATTATGAGTTCTATTTATTAACTAAATTTCCTAGATGAAAAATTTAATTAGTAAATATATTTTACGCTATCGCTTGATTTTTTATTTTTTTAGTATTCTTCATTTATAACTATTTGTTTATTATGATTTTAGCTATGTGTATATGTACGACTTTTCTCATCCTAATTATAAGTGTTATATTTTTATATTTTTTCATAAATTTATATTTTTTTTTGTTCCTTGCTTATTAATTGAATTATCAATTACTTAATTCAAATAGAGTAACCAATTAATTCAAAATATAAAATTCAAAATATTTTTTAGTTAGAAAGGTAGTTTATTTTGTCTTAACAATACCACTTGGCTTAATGAGATTATTTTTTCTTCTACTTTTAGTTATAGATAGATTTGGTCCACCCGTGAAGTTGAAGTTCCTGTCTGTATAGTAGATTGGGTGACATTTGTAGAGAACCATATTAATGTGTAGGTTCTCTCTTTTTGGTATACGGCTTGTATACAGTAGCTTTTCCTATGTCTATACAATTAATTACCTTCACAAAAAATAATTTGATGCAACATAAGCTTAAACGGAACAACTTGGTCAATAAAGATTCATATAGTTGAACCTAACTTACTTGGAATTGATGCCTAGTTGTAAAAAGATGGGATAAGCTTGTTAACATTGTGCATTTCCAAAGTTGTCCCACTGTCACGACTCGAAATTTTCACCGCCTGGACCGTGATGGCGCCTAACATTTCACTTGCTAGGCAAGCCAACGTTAGAGAATCATTAAGCCAATTCTTATACATTTCAGAAATTAACAGCAAATAAGCTATAACGAGTTAAAGTGAATGTGGAAATTTATAACGACCTCAATATATGTACTACTACCCGAATATGGAGTCATAATTCACAAACATTCTAGGATTTACTACAATTACAAGTTTGAAAGAAATACAACTGTTTGAACGATAAAAACAGTAAAACAGAAGAAATAGACGGGGACTTCAAGGTCTGTGAACGCCGACAGATCTACCTTGAGTCTCCGGTGGTCTGGTCCGAGCTGCTATGCCTCTCGATCAACTGGGACCAATATCAAAATCTGCACAGAGTGCAGTGTAGTATCGTACAATCGACCCCATGTACTGTTAAGTATAGAGTCTAACCTCAGCGAAGTAGTGACGAGACTAAGACAAGACACCCACAATTAAAACCTGTGCAATTTAACGGTATATGTACTACTAGTAGCAATGAAAGATCGAGACAACTAATATTGGGGAGGGGAGGGATCACAGGATAAAGAATCACAGCAGTAATACGAACTAGATTAACCGATATACCTTGAACAGATAGGAACAAGTAAACACAGTAAAGAAAAATACACGGCATCACCCTTCGTGCTTTTACTCTCAACCTCACCATATGAATCAACAGAAACGACACGACATCACCCTTTTAACATTCACAAATCATGGCACGACAAGAAGTGGTGAACATGTTTCACCAAGGACACCTAAGGGAGCTGATGAGCGATCGAGGAAGAGCCAACTTCGGCCGCGGACGAGAACAACACCAAGGACCTCCAAAACTACCCTCCCCTGCCCGCACCATCCAAATGATCATCGGCGAAGGCGACAAAGCAGCAATCAATCACGTGAAGTTCACCACCACACATAAACTGAAGCGGTCGATCACCCATGAACGGTACGATGACCTCGAAGTTAGTTTCATCTTCGATGAGTCAGATACCCACGGTTTGACCTTTCCTCACTTTGATGCTCTTGTCATTACTTTACGTATTTCAGATACTGATGTAAAAAGAATAATGGTAGACGACGGGAGCGTCACGTGTATTATTCACCCTCGAGTTCTCGCACAAATGAGACTCGAGGACAAGATAGTACCACGCTGCATAATGCTAACAGGTTTTAACAATACAGTTGAGCAAACCTCAGGAGAGATTACGCTATCCGTTCTGGCCGGGGGCGTCACCCTAGAAACAAGGTTTCATGTCATGAACCAGGACACAACTTACAACGCCATCATAGGGCGACCCTGGATACACGCCATGAGGGCCATCCCATCCAGCTTATATCAAGTAATCAAGTTTCCTACTCTGTGGGGAATATTTAGCATCCAAGGCGAACATCGCACAGCCCAAGAATGCTACCGCATCGCCCAAGATTGTATATACACTCAATAGTTAAAGGGAATAGGCTCGGGAGCATAGCAATTACCAAAGTCGGGGCCTGAACTCAACGAACAAAAAGACGTCATCAAGGATCCCGACGTCGTGGAATCCATAGGGTCAACGGTAGAAGACCTCGACCCCGTCCAACTAGACAACAGCGACCACAACAAAAAGGCTTACATCAGTCATAAACTCTCAGAACCAGGTAAATTTCATAAATTTTTAATTGACAACGTCGATCTGTTTGCTTTCTCCCATGCAAATATGCCAGGTATCCCGAAAGATTTCCACGCACAAGTTGAACGTCGATCCACTCCGCCCGCCGGTAAGACAAATAAGAAGAAAATTCAACGCCGCAATCAACGAGGCCGTCCCTGATGAGGTGGAAAAACTACTTGCTAACAGCTCCATCCGAGAGTCGAAATACCCCCAATGGGTTGCCAACATAGTCATGGTGAAAAAGAAAAACGGAAAGTGGCGGATGTGCGTGGATTTCATGGACCTAAACAAGGCCTGCACGAAAGACTCCTTTCCGTTGCCTCACATCGATCAACTCATCGACGCAACGGCAAGGCACGAGTTGTTAAGTTTCTTGGACGCCTACTCAGGTTACAACCAAATCCTCATGAAGGAGGAGGACCAGGAAAAGACCACTTTCATAACCCATCAGGGGACGTACTGCTAGAGAGTCATGCCATTCGGGTTGAAGAACGCAAGGGCGACTTATCAAAGGCTGGTCACCAAGATGTTCAAGGACCAACTCGAAAAAACAATGGAAGTTTACATAGACGATATGTTGGTCAAATCAAAAAGGAAGGAAGACCACATCGACCATCTGGAGGAATCCTTCAATATACTAAGGTGATACGACATGAAGCTGACCCCCCGAAAAGTGTGCCTTCGGCGTACCTCGGGCAAGTTCCCCGGCTTTCTAGTGTCATAAAGAGGCATCAAGGTTAACCTCGACCAGATCAAAGCCATTGAGGGAATACCCGAAGTATTGACCAGCAAGAAACAGGTACAAAAACTGACCGGCCGTATAGCTGCCCTATCAAGGTTCATCTCACGATCCTCTGACAGATGCCACAAATTCTTCAACGTGCTTAAAAAGGATAACGGACTCCAGTGGAATTCAGAATGCATCGAAACCTGAAGAGAACTAAAGGCATACTTGTCCTCATCCCCGCTACTCGCCAAAGCAGAACCCGACGAATGCCTCCTGATATACTTGGTCGTATCAGAGGTCGCAGTAAGTGCAGTGCTGGTCCGTGAAAACAAAGGTATGCATTCTCCAATCTATTACATTAGCGAAATCCTGGTCGACACCGAAACAAGGTACCCCCACCTCGAAAAGTTGGCTTTGGCATTGGTCATAGCTTCACGAAAGCTTAGACCCTATTTTCAATGTCACCCCATATCGGTGGTCACGACCTTCCCCCTGAAGAGCATCCTACATAAACCCGAGTTGTCAGGGAGATTGGCCAAGTGGGCCATAGAATTGAGCGAGCACGATATAACATATCAGCCGCTAACAACGATAATATCGCAGGTACTTGCCGATTTTAGTGCCAAAATAATACCTGAGGTCAAGCAAGAAACTTCTCGTACCTCTCCCAGGTTACCCAACCTATGGGTCCTATACACCGATGGCGCTTCCAACGCATCAAGATCTGGACTAGGACTCGTACTCGAGGTCCCAACAGGCGAAGTCATCCGCCAGTCCATACGGTGCCCCGATATGACTAACAATGAGGTCGAGTACGAGGTCGTAATTGCAGGACTAAAGCTAGCTCTCAAATACAGAGCATGATGAGTCGTCCTCCGATGCGACTCACAACTCGTTGTCAACCAAGTCACTAGGACTTTCCAAATCAAAGAACAGAGGCTACAAAAGTACCAGGCAGAAATTTATAAACTACTGCTGGAATTCGACGAATGTCAACTCGACCAGATACCTCGAGCATAAAAAATTGAGGCAGATGGCCTCGCCAAGTTAGCAGCAGCCACCAAAAACATAAGTAGAAAAGAAAACGTGGTTATCCTCCTCCACTCGTCAATAGACCAACTTGAGGTACAATCTGTAAATTTAACTTGGGACTGGCGCAACCGTATTATAACATATTTTCAGGAGGGAAGACTCCCATCAGATAATAAAGATGCCAAAAAGCTTCGAATGCAGGCGGCCAGATACAACATCATAAACCACGACCTATACAAAAGAACGTTTGGCGGTCCTTCGGCGAAATGCCTAGGGCCAAACCAAACAAGATGCGTCCTCGAGGAAGTACACGAAGGCCACTGCGGTACCCACACTGGCAACCGGGCCCTTGTCATATGCCTCATACGAGCAGGCTATTATTGGCCCACCATGAAGAATGAAGCACCCGACTTCGTCAAGAAATACGAGCTGTGCCAGAAATATGCTCTTATGATACACCAACTGGGCGGGCACCTCCACTCGG